TTTCCCAACTCGACTGGGTTGAATCAGCTTCACTTTGGCCATTTGTAAACTGACTAAATTCAAGCGGCCCAACCATAGATATTTATCAATACTTTATATTTTAAATATATTTTTTAATACAGGAAAGTGGGAAAATTCTAATATTTCTTAGGCTAAAATAGTTTATATCATAAACTTAATTTTTAAATTTATTTTTTTAATAATGTCATTGTAATTTTTTTAAATGTAAACTTAATTTTTAAATTTAATTCTTTAAGTTTAAATCTTTTGAACTGACCAACCAAATTGAAAATTGACCCAAATTGATGTAACTTGAGTGACCAAACTCCCAACCTAACCAGGTTGATTTGGTTGGCCAAATAACCTACAACTGAATTGAACCAACCCATGAACAATAGTTTAATCTCCAATAATTATTAAAAATTTATAGCGAAAATATATAATAAATTAAAATTAAAAAGCTAAATAATAGTACTTTAAACACCAATAATTATTGAAAATTTTCTATTAAATAAAAAACAAAAATATATTTATACATAATTATTGAAAATATATTTATCACAAAAAACAATAAATAATTACTAAAATACAATAAATATTAATTTAGTATAGATAAATATATAATAAACAAAGATTAATTTTTTAAAATTATTATTAATAAACATTTTTATGAAAGTTATTTTCAAGAATTATTAATTGGTATAAATGAAATTAGTTATTTACAATATTATTTATTTATTGAAATAATATCATTATTTAAATTTTAAAACATTACTTACTTGTTGAATTTAATAATCCATAAAATTATATTACTATTAATACATAATTTTGTTATTTTAACTATTTAAAATCTAGTTATGTTAAATATTTCGTTATTTAAAATATTTAGTTATTTAACTAAATATTTAAAATCTTAATATATTTATTATAATTGAAAGTTATTCAGTAACTATTTAAAATATATTATTAATTTATTTAAAATATTAATTTTAATATTCGGTTTTCTAAGATACTTAGTTATTGAATAACATTTAGATTGAATAATCCAGAAAATCATAATTTATATTATTTGTACATAATTTCATGATGAATTTTGTAAAAATATATAATTATTAATAATGAATATTATTAAATCGATTATAATTATTTTTTGTCTTTTTAGTAAATATTTTAAAGTTATTATATAATTTTGTGAGAATATTTAAATAATTCTTAAATTTTTTAATTCAAACTTTCTTTAGATAGATAGATGTAGATAAAAAGTGGGGTAGAAGATAAATAAGAATTAGAGATAACTCAGGAGAAAGTTGGGAATAGTGGGGGAGGTTGTTTAGGAGAAATTTTAGGATATTAGATTATTTAGTATATGTTTGGCATTGATGTTGCAGGTGCACCTGATGTGTGGTTGGAAGCACCACTTTCTGAGAAAATTGTGCCTTTTTTTTGTTGTTGCTGCTAGGTAGGATGTTTCCTGGAGCAACATCAACGTTTTCTAATTGGTACCAATGCTCCAAAAAACGTTTTCAGCATTGGTACCTATTATCCAGTGCTCCTACTACGTATATATTATCTAGGAGCAACAACAACGTTTAACAGTTCCATCGATGTGAGTATGAATCAGGTTTTAACAGTTCCATCTAAACTGAATCAGATAACAGTTTCATCGATTGAAATCAGGTTTTTCCACATCTGAATCTGAATCAATCGGCTTGAAACATTTCCAAACTGAAGTCTCCTCTGTTCAAAACTGAGGAGATTTCAGTTTCCTCTATTCAAAAATGAAAATTGAAGAAGAGAAAACATCAGAAATTATGAAGTCTCCTCAATTCAAAAATTTTAAATTTATATATACCAAAAAAAAGGAAAAAGAAAACGGTGATTAAAGAACAAACTGAAGTCTCCTCTGTTTTTCCAAGTGATGAAAGAGCAAACACCACACTATTTGACCCAAAAAAAAAACTCAGAATGCTTGAAGAATATAGACATGGTATCTCTGACGACCAAACAGACAATGACTAAAAAAAGAGCTTGAATAACACAGATTTCCGGTGAATGAAAAAAAGTTCGATGACCAAACAAACGGTAGAACTGATCCCCAGCGTTCTGTTTGATTCTCCAGTGACTACTTGCATGGATAAACCTCCATTGACTAGTTGCAAAGGTGACATCCGGTGACTGGCTACACTCGACCTCCAACAGCTAAAAAAATGAAAAAGAGAGTTAGGGTTTGTTAAAAGCACGAGAGAAACATTTACGATATGGTGCATCACAATGCACCATATCAATTCAAATAATAAACACATCGGGTGCCACGTCACTGCCACTTCACGGCCCTATTGGCAGCAACAAGCTACAGCTCCAGGAAACACCAAATTTGGCGTTGCTCCAAGCCATGCCTTCCCGACTTTCAAGGCGTGTCTTGGAGCACCATTTTCTATGGAAAAGCGGTTCCAAACAAATGTTCATTTTCTGGAGCACCGTTTTTCTAACGTGGTACTAATGTGGTGTTGTTGCTCCAAGAAACAGCAATGATGCCAATCATTGTTGTAGGACCTTGATTTCGGCATCCCTTTCCGCCAGCGCCACGTTGATGGACTTCTCTGCTTTCAGAGCTGCTTGCTAATCTCAAACTGAGTTGGATTCGGCTATCAAGATTGGGGGCTGCTGCACACGTTGTCCAAGTCATTCTCGCACCGGAATCCTTGTACAAGAGGGATGTGATTTACTGTGGGTATTGTGTGCATGAGGCCGAGTTGGGGGAGTTGGACCTTCAAGATGGCTGTGGACACTCGCGGTCGGCCTAGGCCCCGTGCCGATCTTCGTGGCGCTTTTTGGAGTCCTCGGTGCAAGGATCGACTGTGGCAAGCACCTGCATGGTAGGGCAAGTGGCTTGGGGGCGTGCGCCGATTGTCCTAGCATCTCCATCATGGTGAGGATTCGGTCAACTTTTTGTTGCATGGTGAGGAGTTGTGTGGGGTCGACCGCTATCTGATGTTGGGGCTCCCGAGGCGGAGAGCTGCGAAGTGAGCGGGATTCCCGAGATGGGGAATGGGCTCCAGAGCGTTCGGATGTGTTCTTAGGCATGGTTGCTTTTAGTGCACAGAAAGGGGTTTGGGAAATGACTTTTTGTACACTTTCAACAGACGATGTCAATCTAATGTTATCCAATCCCAGGTGTTCTGAATCGAGGATACGATCAGATAGTCTTGCCAACCGGATGAGGCCGAGGTGGAAGGACGAAACCACACATCGAGATCTGCAAGGAGGAGAATGGGTCAGAGGCCCGAGGGATTGTTCCCTGGATAGGTACTCCGATGCTCAAGTCAGTAGTAGGATAGAGAGGGATGTAGCCGGGATAGAGCTTCCGGGATAGGGCTTCCGGAATTGTCAAGATGATGTCAAGGTCTTTAGGAGGTTCCCTCTTCTAAGTAGGGTCCACTTTCTTGTCTATATGGGACACTTCTTCTTAATCGTACTCTTCCATTACACGTAACATTAATGTGGCCCGAAGGAAGTAAACACAAAAATAGCTACGTGGCATCGTTCACCAACTCAACCATCACCCGATATTATTAAAAATAAAAAGCACCTTGTAAATTCATAGTGGCGATGTGATTGGTTCAAGAAAACTTGCTTTCCATGCTCACGATACCGCGTATTAGTAATGGCGGTGGTTGGACAATATTTCAGTTTCAGACTGCGCAAGGCAAAGAAATTTCTTGTCGTCTCCTCTCATGGGAGAGTTATCCAGATCTCTTCTCAACGATGACGTTACAGTCCAAATCACCGATCACCTGCCAACAAAATACATTCCAACTACCTGCCAGGTAGGAGATTAGAACGTGTCTCCACTGTACAGGAGTTGTGTCCCATAGGTAGAGTGAATAGCTTTGGTGTTGGAACTTGGAAGTAGATCCGAGCACAAAATTAGAGGTGTAAATCGGGCCGTGCCGCTAGCGGCTTGGCACGATAGTCCACGAGTCATATCAGGCCCAGCATGATCATGCAGGTCATGCTGGGCTTGGGGTTTTAGGTCTACGGGCCGGCATGACATGGTATGATCGAGTGGGTCGTGCTGCTCATGGCACAGTCTGGCACGGCCCATATATATCACTTGTATATATTTTATATATTTATATAATATTATATAAATTATAATTATATAATAATATATAGTATATAATATATTAATAAATAATTAATTTTTTCATTTTATTATATTAATATATTTAATTATTATATATAAGCAATTGTATATACACAGTTTATATAAAATTAAAATTTTAAGTTTTTTATCAATTTCTTTTAAATAAATAGCTTTGACGTGATACACGACCGACTTATTTCAAGGCTCAGCCAACGGGCCAGTCTGGCCCGTGGCATGGCACAGGCTCACACGGGCCCAGGCCATGAACCATGCGGAGCGGACCCTAAAATTTTTCATCGGAAAGACCGGCACAGCCCGCAGGCCAACACGGAACGGCACGGGCCGCCCACGGTGCCGACACAGCACGGCCCATTTACACCTCTACGCTGGATGAGGGGAAGGACCGAAGGACCGCGTTTATGTGTCGGAAATTGCTGTCAGCGAGAGAATGAGTTGTTGAGCGAAGAAACATGCTTCCTCCAATCTTCCTGGCCGCGTGTCAGGCTTACTCGACCTGTCAACTGTCATGATTGGCCCTGTATTACATGTTATCATCGCAGTTTCTCTAATCAACAACAATACTTCACAACAATTTAACATATCAAATGAGCAAGGTGCAAACCAGCTGTGGAATGGGGATGGGCTACCTATACAAGGGTTTGACTATGACATTGAAAAGATACGATATCTAAAAAACTTCGGACTCAAAATTTATGAATAGGTGTGTAAAAGACTAAACACTAATTCACCGATTTTATCCGGTAGCGGGATCCTGTCAACAAAACACGTTCCATCCCTACCAATACATTAGACACTGCACATATCACTATGAAATTAGAATTATAGGGGAAAGTCGAGAGAAAGTTCTCGACAGATCTTGTGAATTTTCTTTTCGACCACTTGGTCGGACTTGTGAACTCGCAGAAGCCGGAACCGGAAGGCGGTCGTGTTCTTGTATAAGAGGCAAGGCAAACATTCGCATTCTCCATTCAGTCCTTTTTTTTCAGTATAATATCCCATTCAATCCTTCAACTTTTAATTTGTCACCTCCCTTTCCCTGTCCAGTTCCCTCCCTATAATTTCTGGTTTTCCCCAAACACTTGTGGTTCTTGCTTTCCATCAGCTCATTTTTTATTTTTCACAAAAGAAAGCGTAATGTGTGATTACCGCCCATTGTACAATGGGGTCTTCCTCCAGCACGGGAACACGACGTTTAGCCAGTCCCAGAAAAAATGGCGAGTGGCTTTCCTTGCTATCTGTTCTTGCCGGGCTATGGTCTCCCTTACTAAAGACATCATAACGGCGAAGAACAGGGATGGCATCCTCAATGGGCTCATTCGTTCTCTTTCCTACACCACTGTAGATATCAAACCCAATACAGATTTCAGTCTTGATATCCAAACAGCAGATGATTTCGATGATGTCTTCTCCAATGTCGATAAAGAAGGTCTCATCCAGATTGTAAAGAACAAGGACTTGGACCGGCTGAAACAGTTCGGAGGAGTCGAATCAGTTGCTGATTTTCTCCAGACCGATGCAAAGAATGGAATCCACGGCAATGCCGAAGATGTCAGTCACCGCCATAAAGTATTCGGTTCCAATACATACCACGGGCCACCCACAAAAGGTCTGTTTCATTTTGTTATGGAAGCTTTTAAAGATACCACCATTCTCATTCTCCTAGTTTGTGCCTCCCTATCTCTTGGCTTCGGCATCAAAGAAGATGGGCTCAAAGATGGATGGTATGACGGTGGGAGTATCTTCGTCGCCGTCTTTCTGGTTGTGGTCGTGTCTGCTGTCAGTAATTTCAGGCAGTCAAGACAATTTGACAAACTATCTGGCATCAGCAACAACATTCTTGTTGATGTTGTGAGAGATGGAAGGCGGAAGAAGATCTCCATCTTCGACGTGGTAGTTGGAGATGTAGTTTGTTTGAACATTGGTGATCAAATCCCGGCAGACGGATTGGTGTTGGACGGCCATTCCTTACAAGTAGATGAATCGAGCATGACTGGTGAGAGTGATCATGTGGAAGTTGATACCACTAGGAACCCCTTCTTGCCCTCTGGTACCAAAATAGCAGATGGGTATGGTCGGATGCTCATCACATCCGTTGGGATGAACACAACATGGGGTGAGATGATGAGCTCCATTAACCATGATTCCAGTGAACGTACTCCATTGCAAGCGCGGCTTGACAAACTAACCTCAGCCATAGGGAAGGCTGGTTCGGCAGTCGCTTTCCTCGTGCTTGTTGTGTTGTTGGTTCGCTACTTCACGGGAAATACAGAAGATGAAAATGGAAATCAGGAGTTCAACGGTAGCAAGACAAAGTTCAACGACATAATGAATGAGGTAGTGCGCATTGTCTCCGATGCTGTTACCATTGTTGTGGTGGCAATCCCAGAAGGCTTGCCTTTAGCCGTTACACTCACCCTTGCTTATTCCATGAAGAGAATGATGGCTGATCAGGCAATGGTTCGGAAACTCTCTGCCTGTGAAACAATGGGCGCAGCGACCACCATCTGCACTGATAAAACAGGTACGCTCACCATGAATCAAATGAAGGTTACCCAATTTTGGCTTGGTCAAAAAACCATTAAGAGTGATGTCTTATCTACACTCTTTCCAACTGTTGTTGAATTGCTTCACCAAGGTGTTGGTTTGAACACAACTGGTAGTGTTTACAAACCCACTACAGGAACAATGCCTGAGGTCTCCGGTAGTCCCACTGAGAAAGCTATCCTTTCATGGGCTGTCTCGGAATTGGGCATGGATATGGAGGATTTGAAGGAGAGATGTACTCTTCTTCATGTTGAAGCCTTCAATTCAGAGAAGAAACGAAGTGGGATCTCAATGATGAAGAAACATGAGAGGATGGTTCATGTGCATTGGAAGGGGGCTGCCGAAATCATACTAGCAATGTGTTCCGATTACTACAACAGTACAGGAACTAAGAAACCCATGGATGATGATGCTAGGATGAAAATCAAGCAAACAATTCAAGACATGGCGGACAATAGCCTCCGATGCATTGCTTTTGCCCACAAACAGATCCCTGAAGAAATGTATGGATACAACAAAGATGAGAAGGCAAAGCAATGCCTTGAAGAAGATGCCCTGACCTTGTTAGGGCTAGTGGGCATAAAGGATCCTTGTCGACCAGGTGTCAAGAAGGCTGTACAAGTTTGTAGAAAAGCTGGAGTGGACATCAAAATGATCACTGGGGACAATGTTTTCACTGCAAGAGCAATAGCCATTGAATGTGGAATACTACAACCTGGCCAAGGCATAAATGATGGAGTAGTCGTGGAAGGTGTTGAATTTCGAAACTACACACCAGAAGAAAGGATGGGGAAGGTTGAAAGGATCCGTGTGATGGCAAGATCTTCTCCCATGGACAAGCTGTTAATGGTGCAATGCTTAAAACAGAAAGGCCACGTGGTTGCAGTCACTGGAGATGGGACAAATGATGCACCAGCTCTAAAAGAAGCTGATATCGGACTTTCAATGGGGATTCAAGGCACTGAAGTGGCTAAGGAGAGCTCAGATATCGTCATTTTGGATGATAACTTTGCTTCTGTGGCTACAGTTTTGAGGTGGGGAAGATGTGTTTATAACAACATCCAAAAGTTTATTCAATTCCAGCTTACCGTGAATGTTGCAGCTTTGGCGATTAACTTCGTGGCAGCAATTTCTGCCGGTGATGTCCCATTGTCAGCGGTGCAATTGTTGTGGGTGAACCTGATCATGGACACTCTGGGGGCCCTGGCTCTAGCAACAGAGAGACCCACTGATGAGCTTATGGAGAAGCGACCTGTTGGTCGAACTGAACCACTCATAACCAATGTTATGTGGAGGAACCTCATGGCTCAAGCTATATATCAGATCACAGTCCTCCTAACCCTACAGTTCAATGGTGAGTCCATATTTGGAGTAAGTGAAAGAGTTAATGACACAGTCATCTTCAATACCTTCGTTCTGTGCCAAGTCTTCAATGAGTTCAACGCAAGGAAGTTGGAGAAGAGGAATGTCTTCAAAGGGATACACAAGAATAGGTTGTTTTTAGGGATCGTAGGGATAACCATTGCTCTTCAGATAGTAATGGTGGAGTTTTTAAAGAAGTTTGCAGATACAGAGCGGTTGAATTGGGGGCAATGGGGGGTATGCATTGGATTAGCTGCCATGTCTTGGCCAATTGGTTGGATTGTCAAGTGCATACCGGTTTCAAATAAGCCCTTCCTTACTCTTCCCAAGTCCTTAGTCTTCAAACAGCAGAAATAGTGGATCACTTGCCCTGTTCATTCGTTATATTCTTTATTATTATTTGTATACCGGTGACCAGTGATATTACCTTGTAGTTTGTAGTTTCTACCATATTTTTTTATTAATATTCTTTTTTAATTTTTCATTTTTTTTAAATTCTTGTACGTAATCTGTTGATGACATCTACTAAAATATACTGTAATACTGATGAAAATATTTGAAACCATTTACGAGAGGCTTGTTCTAGAGAATAGAGATGTTTTTGTTTACCAATAGCCTCTTAACCGGGAATGGCAATTGGGTGGGTTGGGTTGGATGCTGGTTACCTACCCACCAAGCCCATATCGGTCAAATCCCGCTGCCAATGGGCTACCCCCTGTTGCGTAGCCCATGAAGCAAAAAAAAAAGAAAAAAATATTGGTCTATTCTAAGTTTCTAACCCAATCCACTTACCCATTCAAAATAAAAGGCCCTCTCATGCCCTACCTGGCTGGCCATGTCACCCACAATTTTATTGAGTTATTATTATGAGCGAGAGAGATGAGTTGGACCTGCTATGTTATAACATCATTCAATATTTAAATTGATACAGTGAGTGACTCAACCCATCTCCAACCGGATATGCCAAATGGGTGCATTTCATTTGGCTACTTGGTTTTTACCTCTGTGCGTAGATGGATGCTCTGGGCTTTGCAATGCTAAAAGTTTGTAATTTATTGAATATAAGAGTTGATACTGGTGCAGTTGACTGGTCAATACTAGATCCCGGCCCAAAGTCTATATCAGGAAGGGTGCAACCCCAAACGCAATAGCAGGTTTTCTTGGATTCTATAGGTGTCAAAATTATGAGTAAAAAGCACTAGCTTCGGATGGGATCTTTGACTTAAGCCTGGCGTACATTTTAGCCATGGTTGAAAGTATTGCAATGTATCGTACTGCATGTACCTGTCTTTGAACCAAGTGATAGATTTAATACAGGGAATTCTGAACATCTGTCAAGTTTAAAATACAATATAAGCTGGTATGCAATAGCAGTGGCACAAGAAGATCGATGGTTGACTGAAACTTAAATCGGCATAGAGTAGTATTGATCCTTTTGGTGGCTTGATACTGAAAATTTCAGTATCGAGCATATCTATACTTTGGACCATGACTTTAAGTACAGAACTACAGATGGCATGTGCACTCCCTTGATTAGATTGAATCCCCAATCCATTCAAATCTGGTTTGGCAAACATTTTATCTTAAGGTATGCAATAGCATCCTCACCGGGTGTGATGGAAGTGTGGATATAAGGAACTCGGATGTCGTGAAAGCTAAAATTTTGCACATCCAGTTCGACAATGGGAATGTATCTTATATGTGTATTATATTCACGTTCTGTTTGTTTTTTGGTAAGTGTTTTTTGAAAAATATTTATCTGGGTGTATTTATTCATGTTTTTAAGTAAATAATATAATGATAATTTTAGTCATTAAAATTCTATTATCAAAAGAGCATTTTTGTCCCATCTCAGTATTAGCAATTTTTTCAAGATGGAAAAATTAATTTATTCACCTAGGAGATGGAAAAATTAATTTTAGTCACATGATAAATGATACCTAAGAAAATAAATTTTTTTTGGTTTTTCCGAACATGAGATTCTTGATCAATGAGAACCAAAATCACATTGACCAACCAACTTTCCTCTCTTTCAAAATCACAAAAATGAACGCCCCCTCATAGGGAGACATTACCCAATGTTGAATGCCTCTGCTTTTGAAGTGTGCATAGTGTTTTTGCATGCAGGGGATTCCTCTTGGATCTGAGGGAGACTCGAGCCTCGCAGTAGAAATGCTTGTCAAATAAGAAATAACCATCATGGAAATGTCTTGATGAATGTAAAGAAATAGTGGCAGGAATACAGCCATCTTTGTAGAGAAGGAAATCAAGCAGCTAACTTCAGTCATGAAAGTGCCCTGAACTCATTTTCTCCCATCTCTTTACCTTCATATTATATAATCTATGGCCCCATTTGGTTTGCAGGAGTAGGGGTTGGGAACCAAAATCAAAATGGGCTATTCGATTCCACCTGTTTGGTTGGATACAGAATCGGAATCCCATTCTCATTTCTACTAAAATTGCAAGTCCTTCCCTTAGGAATGAAATCTCATTCCTGTCGATTTCAATTCCCATTCCAGTTCCTATATAAACCAAATAGACTATTGGGAAAAATCATTCTGATTCCAATTCCAACTGCGGACCAAACAATGATACGCCCAAATCCTTATAGGGGCCATTGAGTAGTGCAACATCACACTATTAACACTCCCCAAAATTGATGGTAGTGGGAATCAAATTCGCATCTCTATTAGAATACCCAAGAATCAAATTTGCATCTTGATTGAAACAAATTAATTAACGTACCAACTAAGTCACAAACTAGTTAACGCAGTTGCCCCATCTCATTTGGCTGTAATCTGTGTTGACTCTTTGGATAGATCTACCCCAAAGCTGCATCATGTAGTTACATCTTCAACTATTCCTTTACCTTCAAATTATATAATCCTTATTCACTCGTTGGATAGAGATACCTCAAAGGCACATCATGTAGCTATATCCTCCGGGCAATGTTGTCCTCAAGAATGGAAACCCCGTCTTTTCTTTTTTCTCTCTCTAAAAATTAGGCATTCACGTTCAATGTTTGACTTTTGCAAGTGTTACATGGGTCACGAGAATCCCTTTGTTTCATGTCGAGCACGAGTCCCTTTCTCCATGTCCTTAACAAAAATCGACCCATTAAACAAATTATGTCGTAGTGTTCCGCTAATTGGAAGCAAACCTTGATAACTGAGACCCATGGGCCATCAAAATGCAATATGTGAATTGGGAGGGCCTATTTCTTTTAGTAAAATCACAGGTGCAATCTGGGCCAGGTTAGTCAGGTTGGGTTTGGATTGAAGCCCATATGAGCGAAATTGACATGTCTATTTATAAACACATTAACAATTTTAAGTTCAAATTTCAACATATTTTAGGGTAACATATATAACACTTCTAATGTACTACAATTTTTTTCTCATATAGTGATGTTAAAATTAGTTAATCTTGTTAAGTAATAAGTGAAAAATATTAAGCGTGTGTTTAGAATCGTGGGCGTTTATTGAATAAATGCTGTCATATAGGTGTTATTTTAGTATTTTCCCCATTATGTGAATCTGTATGCATAAGGACTTGCAAAAGTAGACTTCGATTTATGTATGTACCTACCATTGGGGGAAGCTTCATTTTAGTACTCCCCCCAATGATTAGACGTTTATTCACTGTTTTGCTGATGTGGTGTCTAATGATGTCTAAGTGTCAATAAACGGTGATTCATCATTGCTTTTCTCAATTTTTCAAACAAATTAAATATAAAAATTTTAGTCAATAAACATTTACGGGTCACTCTTGTATATAAAAATCTTGCATTTCTCATTCATTTCCAATGTTAGATTTTCTTCAATTACTTATACATGAATCCCAACAATACAATTTCAACTTCCTAGCCATTGATATCTCTCCCCTTTGACTCCATTTCTTGTTAAAGCAAAATAGCCAAGCCATAGTGAACAGGATTAGCCGATTAAGTGGACTCGTCCCCATTCACCCTGCTTGTAAAGGAATACTTGGACGACTCAATTACAAACCTCGAATATGGCTTCACTTTACATTTCTCTGTCACAATAATTGAACTGGTGATTGGAGAGGAGGGTCAGGTCTTCTTCGTTGAAAAGTTCTCCTTATACAATCAATTATATTGTATAGGGTTTAGTTTTCCCCTATTTAAATGAACAATGGGTCTACAAGTGAATCAATGACTTCAAATCAAAACATTTATTCAAATAGACATCACATAGGGTTTTTACTTAGGTTTAACTATAGGTCGGGCCGGGTTTACTTAAGTTTAACTATAAGTCGGGTCGGGCCAGGCTATTTTGGCAAAACCCGAGCCCGGCTCGAATTTTATGCGGGCCGGGCTTTTTGGCCCGAGGTTAAGCCCGCGGGCCAAAAATTCTGTTCAAGCCCGTCCGGGGGCCGGGCCGGGCCGGCCCGGCCCATGAACAGGTCTAGTGATGAGACGGGGTAGAGAAAGAGAAATACAAGAGAGAGTGAAGGCGAGACCAGAGAATAGGGATGGTAATTTTCGCCTTGTCCCGTCCCAAACGAAGGCAGGTCCTGACCTTAAACGGGGATGGAGAAGGATGGAGAATATATTTTTGCCCTGAATCTGAGAGGGGGCTTTCATATAATTTTTCAAACTGGTTTATGGTAAATTATTAAAGTTTTCATAAATTTAGTATTAATTTCTAAAATCTCTAATTTTTGTTTATAAATTCATAAAACCTATAGAATCCCATAATCTCATCTATATCTATATATTACATTGAATGTGCCAAATTTGCACTTTTCTGTTTTGTGGTTTATTCTCAAAGGCACCTATCTTTTTTTTTCTTTTTTTTTGAATTTTTAATTTTAAAATTGAATAAAATAACTCAAGTGACCAATCATTTTAACACTTTTAACACTCCTCATTAATACACTATTAACTCTTTTTTATTAACTCTTTTAACTCTTTTAATAATCTGTTATCATTAATTAACTCTTTTAATAATCTGTTATCATTAATTATGCCATCATCTCTCTCCTTCAATAACTCATGTCACCATTCCTCTCTCATCTCCATTATTCCATTAAATTGTGAATTTAAATATAATTTTATATATACTAGATATATTTGCATTAAACTGTAATTATTAGTAAAGATTAATTATATTGAAATTGAGATATTTAATGATATATTATTGCACTAAATGATCTACTTTCATTTAAAATTATAATCCATTTATATTCCATTTGAAAATAATAAAAATTAATTAACCATAATAAAAATAATTTAGTAAGTTACTTAAATAAATAAAAATAATTAATAATTATTGTTACTAATAAAAATATTTTTATTAATATAATAAAATAATTTAATTAATAAAAGGAATAGAATACATTAAAAACCAATATCAATTTAAAATTAATATAAAAATAGGATAAATTTATCAAATAATTATTAGTTTTATAATTAAAATTTATAAATTTAAAACAAACTTGAATTTTACTAAAAAAATTACAAAGTTGATTAAATTTCATAGGGAATTTAAATTTAATAAAAACTTAACATACTTAAATAAATTCAATTTTTACTAATTTAAAAAATTAATAAACATCTAGTTTAATTATTTTAGTATCAATTTAAATTCCTTTTAAAAGTAAGGAAATTATAAAAACCTCCCTGGGTTTTCTAACAATCCTATAAAACTCCCCATTGTTTTGATCTTAACAAAAACCTCCCCTAAAAAAGGTGCAAATATCTTCCTTTCCTAAACATTTCAAATAAAAAAAAAGTTGTTGTAATCATTGTAATGCATTAATTTTACTTAACTTAAACCTTTTGACCTTCCTTACTTTGTCTCAAGAATAAGGAGAATTATTCTTTGAAAGTTCTCAACCAAAATAAATTAGTAGAGGGTAAAGTTGAGAATTTAAATTATGTATGATAATGCCTTAACAATGATAAAGATGTTTTGGTAACTTCAATGTCTTTGTTACGAGAAAGCCAAGGGAAATGAGGTATCTGCACTTTTTTCTCAAAACTATAGGGGAGGCCTTTGTTAGGGTCAAAACATGAAGCCATGAAGGTGTTTTATAGAATTGTTATAAGAGGTTTTCTTTTTATAATTTTATCTAAAAATAATAATAAATCAATAAAAATTAATATTTTCAAAAAAATAGCATTAAGATATAAAAAATAATACAAATTTATCTAGATAAAAATAATTTAGCCACTCTAGTGCAACTTAGGTTGTGATTGGATAAACTAGACATAACCCCAAAAAATAATACTTAAATTCAACTTAGATGAACACCATTTAATTGGAAATATCATAGAGCTCCATCTTCTACTAATCTAAAAAAAATTAGAGTTCCATCTTCAATTTTACTTATAAATAAAGTCCATGCATCATTAAATATTCTTCAATTCCTATAATCGAATTTCTATAATATCCCACATTTCTATAATCATATTTCTAAAATGCTTTTTATATTTAATGCAATTGTTATAATTGCCTTGTAAGGCTGCGTTTGGAAATGATAGAAATTGAGTGTAAATCCCAGTTCAAGGCAAATTTGCACTATGGTTCACTTTTGCCTGTGTTTGGCAACATTACATTTATGTATTATTGACAAATGACAAAAACACATTTTCCAATGCATATATTTACATTGATAATAAGATGTAAAAGTACATAAAAAAAGAAGTAAATTTGCATTCAAGTGGGCTTTTGATAAAAAGGCATATGCTTTATTGGAATTCGTGTTTGCATTCATTACTGCTAAAAATCTATTTAGTAAAAAGATAAATTTGTCGGTGTAAAACTAACCAAACTTTACAATTTATATAAACTGTTTTACACTATATATTTGTATTCACACTTATTTGTGTCGTTTCCAAACACAACCTAAAGGGAAAATTCATGAATTCCCCTATCTTTGACCGAGAGGAGTGCCCTACCTAGTTGTCATTCCCATTGGAGAGACTCCCACCGGAGAGAACCCCCCCCCCCTACCTTGAAACAAAGGGGGGACAACAGTTGACCTACTTGAATTACGTGGCTCTCTAAGGAAATTAACAAGGTTTATAAAACCGACCCGGAGACCGAACCAATCAGGGGTCCAGTTCTTGAGTTGAATGGTCCGATCGTTCAAACCGAACAGTCGGCCCATTCTGACAAAAAAATAAAAACAGTCAAAACCATTGAACAGTTCGAACGGTTCAACCGCCTAGTTCAATGATTTGCTAACTAAATCAACGGTTTTCTGCAAAAATCCAGTTTTGGGGAAAAATAAAACCGGTTCCTGGTTTTCCGATCTGACCATTCGGTCCGATCCAGTTTTGAAAACCATGTCAGGATGTGCATATAAAACAATACAATAGCAATAGATAGCTTTGCTATTTATTGACCATGTGTCAAATGAAGGCATCCAACCACAACTGACATACTTTTTTAGAGTTTTCAACTTTATGATGGTTCAAAAAAGAAAACAAATATTAGCTTTAGGAATTTTCGATGTGTACTCGTGTCAAACATATGTCTTGACACCAGATGTTGGTCCGGCCTAGAGTTGTACTAAAACGGGCCCAACACGATTTTTGGCTAGTTCAGCACGGCCTGACACAACAAAATGTAAGCCGAGGCGGGCTGGGGTTTTATGTCCATGGACCGACATGACACGACACGATACAACTGTATGTGTCGTGCTGCCTACAGTCCACGTGTTGGCACGACTCAGTCCATAGCACAGCCCGTGGCACGACTTGGCACAACACAGCCTGTAGGCTCGAAGAAATTCGAGTGTGGCCCGTTCGAGAAACTAACCGTTGGAGTACCCCTCCCAATGGCTAGTTTCAGCTTTTTTAGGTTTTTTTTTATGAAAATACCCCTCAATAGTTATAAACAACTATATAAGGGGTATTTATGTATTTTGGATTTGGGAGGAGAAAAAATGACAATAATGCTCCCCCAACAGCTATATAATAACTAGTTTGGGGGGCATTTGGGTAAAGTGATAAATAACTTTATAATGGCCAAAATACCTCTCTCAATAACTAAAATGGCTAACTTTTAAGGTATTTTGGACAATTGAATTATTTTTAATTCCTATAAATAGCCCTATCCTCAACCATTCTCATCACACCAATTCAATAATTCTCTTTTCATACTTTCCCAATCTCTTATACATTTTCATACTCTTTCTATTCTCTAATTCTCAACTTTATTGAAGTTTCAACAAGAAGAAGGCTTGCTCAAATATATCAAGTTAGCAATTTGGGAGGCTTGGAGGTTTCAACCATTGAAATCAAGTTGAGATTCCGAATTGACAATTCAAGTAAGTGCAATTAAATTAATTTTTATTTTTTTAGAATTTAAAAAAAATGTTCAGCTCCTCCCAAAACCAATTCCCCAACATCAAATATGTTCAATGCCAATAATATTCAATCACAACATGATAGTGTTAGCACTGACATGGATGCTATTTGACGAAATTTCCACCCCTAGTACTGATACTAGGGGAAAGAAAAAGAAGGCCACTAAGTTGATTAGTTCGGTTTGAAAAATGTTTAAAGTAGAGGAGATTGAGGGGAAGGAAAAAATAGTTGTTTGCCAAAAATGTAAAAAAGACTTTTGCTACTGTAACAAGGATGGTATTGGCCACTTGGATAGACATTTGCTCTCCTATAAGAAAAAAGAAGAAGTAGGGAAAGAAACAAACACAAACACAAATTGGGCATAAGGTTTTTGGTACTTTTAAATATTTTCAAGAAAAAATGAGGCAAGAATTAGCAAAATATATTGTACATGCTGAACAACCATTTTTGTTAATTGAGAATACTAAACTTGAAAGATTTTTACATAATTCTATAAATCCACAATTTAAAAAAATTTCTAAGAATACTATTATATTAGATGCTTTAAAAATTTTTATTCATATAAACAAATTTAATTTATATTTTATCAAATCTTAATTATAAAGTTGCAATTACTTATGATATTTAAACCTCTAAATTTAATATAAGTTATATTTATGTTATCAGTCATTTTATTGATGAAATCTGTCTTTTACAAAAAAGAATTTTAAGTTTACTAGGCTTGAATGGCCACATACTGGCTCAACTATTGTTGCATATTTTAAATACTTTACATGCTTATGGAATTGACAATAAACTATTTTCTATTAGTTTTGATAATATTAGTAATAATGATTCAGCAATAAATATTTTAAAATCTTAATTTAAACCATATTTAAATGGTAATAATGATTGTTTTGGCAGAATAGTGAAGTTGCACTCCAAACCATTAGAAGATACACTTGAATTAGAGATAAAGTATTATTAAATCAATGACCTTATGTTATATGTAGTGGTGTTCAAATTCAGTTATCAAAAGAACTGAACCAAATACAACCAATTAATCAAACTGAGCCAAATTCGGTTATCAATGACCTTTTATTACTTTAATTTTCGGCTCAGTTTAGTTTGAAAAAAATTCCACCAATTGATCAAAACAAATACATACATTTTTATTTTTATTATAAATATTAATATTAACATTAATATATATATATATATATATATATTTTAATAATAATATATAATATGTATTTTAATTATAAATTTTGATATATTTTTACTAACTAAATAATAAATTTAAAACCAAATTAACTGATCTGTATTTGGTTTGATTTGATTCGGTTTTCTAATCTAATTTACTTCAATTCAATTCATGAAAATGGACTAACCGAAATGTCGGTTACATTCTTTTCTTTTTTATACATAGAAAAGTTAACACTAGCAAAGCAAAGTCGTGCCAGCAACATCAAGAAAAACTAAGAAGCTGAAATCCCATGGACTCGAGGCGAGAACTGGTTTTCTTTCTGCAAACCTTTTTTCGTGGCTAGTCAACATCATAGTTACCTTCTACACACATGTGCGAGTACTCGATTCTTGCATGAGTGTCGTGCACTAATTGCTTGCATTCCTTTTAAGGTTCTGTTCGTTTTTCAATAAATTATTTATGTAGATAAGTTTTTTGTAGGAAAGACTTACCCGGGTAAATGTATTTATCCATATTCTTTTATTTGTCATGTAAATAAAGCAATAGTCATTTTATCCATAAAAATCTATTATTGAAAGGGGTATTTGTATCCCATTCAAATGTTAACAACTTTTCCCGTGAAAAAATTATTTACCCACTTAGGAGATGGATAACACTTATCCATGAAAATAAGATTCTTAGTCAATGAGTCCTCCTCTTAAAATCCAAAAAAAGAATGCCCCTTATGGTACATTTCCATGGGGTTTCTATAAGGCCGTTAAAAACCTTGATCACAAGGAGGGAATCTTCTTCTATTATTATCATCGGGCAACTGTAGAGAGCAGCAAATAATAGAGTAAGTTTATGGATGTCAATTGAATGGTTTTGAGTTGGATCCAAATCGATCCAAATTTTATTAAGTCGGTTTTGGATAATTATTGGGTTGAGCCAATCCAAAATAAAATCGCCTGTATTATTATTGGTTGGGTCGGCCCAAAACCAAAACCTAATAATTCAATACCAAAAACCCTACCCATTTGAATCAAAACAGACCCATTTGAATCAAAACCAAAATCGAAACCAGACACCAAAGAAACCATCGGCGCTTGTCTCTCGTCTGAACTCTGAAGCAGCTAAAATTGAAACCAGACACTCAAGAAACCTTCGGTGGTCGTCTCCCGTCTGAACTCTGAAGCAACCAAAATTGAAACCAGACACTCAAGAAATCTTCGGCGGTCGTCTCTCATTTGAACTCTGAAGCAACTAAAATCGAAACCAAACACTCAAGAAACCTTCGGCGGTCGTCTCTTGTCTGAACTATAAAGCAACTAAAATCGAAACCAAATACTCAAGAAACCTTCAGCGGTCGTCTCTCATCTGAACTCTGAAGCAACTAAAATCGAAACCAGACACTGAGACAAGAAACCTTCGGCGGTCGTCTGAACTCTGAAGCAACTATTCTCTGGCATTCTGAAAAACTTATTCGAAGAAATTCTGTGGAAATCACTGAAGCAACTCATCTCCGGTCGTCCGAAGAAACTCTATGGAAATCTATAAGATTGGAACTCTGTGGCTCTTCTCTCTGTGGAAAGAATAATCCCCGGTGGCTCTTCTCTTCGGCGGTTCGAAGAAACTCTGGAAATCAGGATTTTCTTGCTCTTCTCTCTCAGATGGAAATAGGTAATAGTTTGGTTTTCCTTCAAAAAAATGAAATCCTCAATTTTTTGTGTTTGTTACTATTGTTGTTTGTGTTTGTTACTATTGTCGTTATCCCTGAAACTTTTTGGGTTCCTTCATGGCTTCATCAATACAAATTGGTGAGAAAATGGGTTCTAATTTTCAGGGTCATTGATACTTTGAATACTTAGAATTAAGGCTATTTAATAGATTAAAATGATAATATTCTATCTTAATTATGTAACTAATACTTATTGAGATAATTATCTAGCTTTGTCAGACAATAGCCTATTTCTGAAAATTGGATAAGTAGTGCTTGTCTGAAAAGTTCAAAATTCATAAATTTTTCTTTGTTGATAACTTTGTTTCCCTCCATGCCCAAACAGATCTGATTCTCAAATAAAACTAACCTCTTCAATTGTTGATAACCTCTCAAATAAAACTAAATGATAATATTTAGTGGGCAAGAAGGGTCTGAATCCATGTCTGTACCGTAGGTATGTATGAAGCATTAGGATTACTAAACTAAGCTTCTGATTAATTAGTAGGTGCATTGGAGTGGAGTGCACTAATTAATAGCAGAATTTTGTGAATATTAGAAATGTGCTATTACAATTATGTGAATATTTAATTTCATTCTCATTTTCATCTTCTTAGTTGAATATTTAGCTGTTACAATTATGTATCTTATTCTTTTTGTTGTTTTTTTGTCTTTATGCATCAAGGATGAATGAACCTAGCAATGAAAATGCAAGCAATTCCGAAGATGTCAATGAAACATCTATGGCATCAGGATCTAGTAAGAGGAGGACTAGATCTAAAGCTTGGGAACACTTAAAAAAAAAAAGATTGGATTCTGGGGAGGAGAAAGCTATTTGTATATAGTGGAAAACAATATATGGGTGGAAGTAAAGGGACAAGCCACTTGTTGAGTCATTTACCAAGATGTTCTGGAATGAAGGAAATGTGCACTAGTAAACAACAAGCTGAAGTGGAGTTTAAATTTGATCAAGATAGGAGTAGAATAGACTTAGTGAAGATGATAATGAAGCATGGGCATCCATTTAGCATAGTTGAAGAAGAATTTTTTTTCAGATATTTGTCAATAATCTTCAGCCATCATTTAGGTTTGTTTCTAGAAATACAATAAAGAATGATATCATAAAGATTTACATGGATGAAAAGAAGAAGTTGTACAAATATTTTGATGGTTTGGATTGTCAGATTAGCTTAACTACTGATATGTGGAATTCGGAATTGAATTTGGGGTATTATTGTTTAACAACACATTTTATAGATGATGGGGGAGAGCTGAAGAAGAAAGTTATTGCATTTATGGCAATTGAGTGTCCCCATGATGGAAACACTCTATATGAAGTTGTTATGGAGAGGTTGTTGACTTGGAACATTGATAAAAAAATATGTTCTATAATAGTTGACAATGCCTCTAACAACGATGTTATGGTTAGGGAGCTTAGGAATTGGCTCTATGTTAAAGGTTCGCTCTCATTGAATGGTGACCTATTTCGTATGAGACGTGCTGCTCACATCTTGAACCTTATTGTGCAAGATGGGTTGAGAGAAATATCATCATTGTTGCATAAGATTCAAGAAAGTGCTAAATATGTAAGATTGACACCCCATAAGAAGCAAAAATTTGACAATGAAAGAAGCCAAGCAAAAGCATAAGAGAGGGATGGTTGTTGATTGTCCAACATGATGGAACTCCACATATGATATGTTGGGCATAGCTTTAGAGTTGAGGGAAGCATTTGTCGACTAGCCAAGCTCGATCGTGACTATAAGAATCTACCATCTGATGAGGAATGAGAGATGAGGGCAATGGTACGAGATTGTTTGCAAGTTTTTTACATTTGCACAAAAAATTTTTCAAATACTACTTCCCCAACCTCAAATGTATTTTTCCTAATATTTGCACAATCAAGCTTTTATTGCTTTAGTGGCTAGATAGTGAACATGAGTATGTTCATTCAATGGCAAATAGAATGAAGCAAAAATATGATAAATATTGGGATGAATGTTCTTTGGTGCTTGCAATTGCCGTTGTACTTGATCCCAGGTTCAAGATGGAGATTGTAACATATTACTACAATCTCATTTACGGAGAGATTGCTGAGAGACATGTTACAAGAGTTAGAGAGGCAATGAATGACCTATATTCAGAGTATGTGGGTTTTGATACAGAGGATAGGTCACTTGTATGCTCTAGTATTGCATCTTAGCTATTGAGGATTTGGGGTGTTTTAGATTTTTTGAGTGGTTTTTGATCGGTGGTTGATTGTAGAGCATCCGGAATGTTGTCTAGGGACTCAAAAGTCAGACTTGGATCTTTATTTTGAAGAAAAACTATTTCCTAGAGGTGAAGAGTTTGATGTTTTGAGATTCTAGCGAGTTGATGGTTTAAAGTTTCCGAAGCTCTCTAGATTGGCACGCGATATTTTGGCAATTCTAGTATCAATTGTATCATCCGAGGGAACATTCAGTATTGGGGGTAGAATAGTGGACCAGTTTCATACTTCATTACTTCTAGAAACAGTGGAGGCTCTAGTTTGTGGGCAAGACTGGTTAGAAGCTCCAACAACAAAAAGTAAGTTAAAAATTGGATCTTGAAGCAGTTGTTCTCTTTTCTATATGTTTATGTTTATTTATATGTTTTTGTTTCTAATGTGTTTCTGGTTGTGCATTATTATGTTTTAGAATTGGATCTTGAAACCGCTGCTACCTCTCCTGTATGTGTGGCTTCTATAACTGACACTATCCGAACATGTAAGTTATGACAAATGGTCTACGATTAGTTTATTTGATTTGCAAAATGTTCGTGATTATCTAATTTGACTAAGCAAATGTTTTGTTTCAGGATGTTGGAGCATATTCCATGCATCTAGGTTGGACATATTTTTTCTTCATAGGTATTTTTTTCTTATAATATTTTTTTTATAAAATATTTGCTATAATATTTGGATTGGATTGGACCTAGTCCATTTGTAATGGTTCATATTGGTCTAGGATGGGTTGAAGTTTTGGCAGAAGATAAGAGAGGCTGTGAGGCTATCAATGGACCAGGTTTGGGTTGGACACAATCTGAATTAAAACCAAATTGAACAAGTTGGAAAGTCCAATAGGACAGTGGATTGGATTGGACCAGTCCAATCCAGTCCAGGTTGAACATATTGAACAGTCCAATAAGTCAATGGATTGGATTGGACTAGTTCAATTTGGTTCAGGTTGGAAAGTCCAATAGGACAGTGGATTGGATTGAAGTTCTGTTGATCTTTTTTTCCCTGTGACATGCTCTCTCTGTTCTGAGTTTGAGAATCCTGGTGATATTTCCAATTTTCTCATATGAGATTTCGTTTCAGTTTGAAAATGCATCAATTTATTTAGTGGGCCAAGAGTTTACTTTTTACCTGAAATTTGTATTGTAGTCTTGTTATGAGTGATGAAGCTTACAAATCTTGTTTCTCTTGTTAAAATTAATTTCTATGCATATTATCTGAAATAAGGTGACAGAACTGCCATGAGCTGAAGTAATATAACAGATATGCTTGTTGATGCATAAGTTATGCCAAATGGCTTCTGTATGCCTTGTCTTAAATGTTTAAAGTATTAGTTTTCTGTATGCCAAATGGCTTATGTATGCCTTGATCCATCTTGGAATTTAAGCTATGATGGCCCTCAGCTTTATCTGAGTGATAACCACAAGTTATTCTCTACTGGACAGTGTAAGAAAACTTCAATGATAAAAAAATTTTATCTTAGGACAGTTGGTGTTGGACCTTTGGAGCAGTTTTTTCATAGGACAGGTTTCATCCAAGATAGGCAGAGTGACAAAACTCAATTCCTTGCTCCTTGACTACAATAAACTTTCAGATTTGATCCCATTGGAGATAGGGAACCTGGAAGTGGAATTGTGTTGTGGACCTTATGTGAACTGCTGAGAGTTTGTAGAATCCAGGATTTGGGGGCATTTTGATTGAGAGGGGTTAATTAGGAAGTGGAATCAGTTCAGGTAAAATAGAGGTGTTCAAATCATTGAGGACATTTCATTTTTTGTGAAACAAGCACTCACCAAATGCTTAAAAGCTCTGGGTTGAACTTTGCAAATCATAGGGTTGAGAGTGACCTATAGAGAGAGAGAGAGAGAGGTTGAACTTTATGCTCCATGGACCCATTTGACCATTAATTAACCAACTAGCTAGGTGGTGCAACCCTATTTTAATATACCTAATGTAAATTGTTATGTCAGTTACCATTAAAATATAGAGAAATAATAACAACTACAGCTGATTAACTTAGGTTGTGTTTGGTGCCTTCTTGCTTCAATTGGCGCAGCCCCATCCTCTCTACCATTGTCATCCATCTACATGGTAAAAAAGAAGAGATATGCTTTAGCAAGATGAAGATACCAGAAATTGGAGATGAATATGACTCGGTGACAGATGGGTAGAATTTGTTAAACCTTGTGTTATCTTTTTCTCAGTATGGGGTAGTACGAAGCTTTATGATCTCTCTTTATTTTATATTTTAATGAAATTTTCATTAGAGATCAGAAATCCAATGCTCTAGTAGAGTTTGCTTTTGATGGTAACCAATTGCAGGGTGAGCTGCCAGATAGCATCTTTGGCCTTGGGAAGCTTGAATATCTATGTTTAGGTTCCAACAATTTATCTAGTACAATTCCCACGGAGATTGGAAACCTAATGGCTACACCTCTTGGGAGGGATGAAAATTGGATACAGATCTAACACCTTTGGCTTTTGTTTTTTGGCACAAAATGGCTACTCCCCAAATCAAAAACATCCTTGAATCACATTTCATCTCGTTAGGTCAATCCGAAGACCCATATATACTCCAAAAGAGGAGATATTACCCAATGTTGGTCTTGAGTCTTGACTATTTGGGGTGTTAGGAGGGATGAAAATTGGATACAGACCTAACCTTTAGCAAACTTCACACAAAGCAGCCACTCTCAGAATCAAAGCACAACCTTGAGTCAAATTTCATCTTGGGGTTAACTAAGATCTCTTTGATGGTTAAGAACCCACCAACTGTTAGCTAGAAGCTTGTATCGTATTTGGTCAGTGATTTTAGTTTCTAGGTCTGTTTCTTGATATTTTATTAGCAACCTAACTTCATCAAGCCATGGCATGAAAAGTTCCAAATTTAGCCACCAGGGTTGGGGAGGGAGTGGGTGGGTTATGGACTTATGGGTATGGAGTTGGGTTAGCCTCCTTCATGGGCTTGGTTTAGGCTTCTAATTAAGGGGCTGGACAATCACAGTCCAAAGGTGAAATCTTGTGGGTGGTTAATTTGGAGGCTACAATAATTTAACTTTGAAAACTCACTCTTGTTTTAACTTTGAAATTCTTGACAAGTTTCTGAGTCTGTTTCTACATTGACTCTCATCTCACCATGAGAAATTTTAATGAAATAATTTCCTAACAATAATATTTATTTCATTGTAACGTGACCAAGAAAAAATAATTGGAAGTATTTCTGGAACGTGGAGCAATGACCAAGAAATCAATGGTCCAAAATTTCAGATTGAAAGCTATATATATTTTCTTGTATTTGAATTCAATGAGGCCTAAGGAATGTGTTTAAGCCGACCAAGAAGGATTTGAATATGTATGGGTTTGGAATTACCAAATTTGATGGGCAATTATTACTGAGTAAGCTAGCAGTAGATGGTCTCTGCCAAAGTTAGCTCACAGAAATTAGGTAAAGATGGACCTCTGATAAATTTTCATAAGGGTCCCTTTGATTCGTGGGAGTAGAGGTTTAGAATCGGAATTGAAATGGATTATTCCAATTACAACTGTTTGGTTGGGCAGAATCAGAACCCTATTCTCATTTCTGGTGGAATGACATTTCTCTGTTTGAAGGAATGGCCATTTCTTCCTTTTCTCTTGGAATTAAAATCTTATTCCAGCTGATTTTAATTTCTATTCTTATTCTTGTATGAATAAACAGATCATGAGAATATTTTTGAATGCATCAGTTGTTTTGAGCTCACAAACGTTGTGACCATTGCCAAGTCATTTTTTCCGTTTGCCAGTAAAGCATAGACAAACATCCTGTTAAATATTTTGAATGAAGGAAGCTTTCCATTAAAAGTGGCCATAGCCATGGAAAAGGGAAATGTTTTATTGGGTGGGTTTTTAGTGTCTCTATGTTTTATTGGGTGGTTATAAGAAAATGCTGAAAAATGGTTGCAGCAGATGTGAACTCATTTTTCTTTACCTCCTTAACATAGACTGATTTGGTTATTCTGGTGATGTGGCTTTTAGTGAGAGCTCCCACTTTTAAACCTGATTTTTTTAGTGGCTATCTACAATGATCTTGTGAACTTAGCAAACCTACTAATTGCACCCTTTGCTTACTTAATAGCAGATAATCTGTGTTTTTCTTTGCTGATCTCTCTGCATTAAGTTTGTAAATTGTAACATAGATTACCTTGGAACATTTGAGTGTCATATAAACTCAGTTTGTTAAAAGTATCATCTTGTGTTCAATACTTCATGCTTTTGTTGAATTATGTTGTGTTATAGCCACTTATCCATTTGTATATACTTTATACTGCAAATATTATTATGGGTAATTGTTAGGAAACATGGCATGATTGCTTTTGTTTAGATGTCCGTCCCATCCCTTCCCTATAGTAGCTTTTTGTTTCTTTATTAATGTATTATTATCATTACTGCTCAAAAGAATCCTACTTTTCCATTGCTGGAGATATCCAACTTAACCATGTTTGGCATTCTTTTGTTCTTGATCTTTAGGTATATGATTATTTCATATTGATATCATCTGTCATCATGATATTGGCATCTCTCCTAGCACCAACATTGATGTCTTCTGACTTGTGCATGTACTTATTTGCTGAGTTGATTAATTTCCACTTCCAAGTGGAATAATTCCATTTATATTATTGAAAATTCCATTTCCCATTTTCCTGAGTTTTGCATTCATATTTATTTCATCTGAAACTCATGCCTTTAATGGAGTTAAATCTGTGTATAGATATTCCATGATGAGAAGGTTCATTTTGGACAAGATTCAAAGGACAAATGTAGAGATGCTGTCTGGTGCCACAAAAGCTACTTTTGCTCAACTTCTTTTCCGAATACCATCTCTCATACAGTGTTTTCTTATAGTGACCATAGACACATTGGATAATGCAATATATTGGTCAGATCAAAAGCTTGGTTGCTGTTTTGTATATAGTTGGCTCGAATTTCTCAGACCAGTATTCCATTTTAAGGTGTTTTTCCGCATTGTTTCCATGACATCTATCATGTATCCCATATATCTGGCATATTAGATGTAGCAAAGTGGTTTACAGTTATAGCTTGCAAAATACCAAGAAAAGGAACACTGAAATGGTCTCCCAGTTTATGATCCTATCATCCCATCTTACACTGTACAACCAGAGTTCTCTGGTTCTTATCTTGCATATTCAGCTTTTGTTCTTCTCATCTTCACCATTTTTTACAATATATTCTTCATTACAGTTATCAAACCATCTGTGGATGGAACAGAGTCAGCTCCAGCTCCTACTGTCTTCTTCCAACCATCCTATTTCGTTTTTTGGTTTTTGATGAACACCCCTGATTCCAACCATCTATTTCTAGCTTACATTCTTGTCTTCTTCAACATGGCCATACTAGATGGTACGCTCCAAAAGGGGTTATTCTGGGCTAAGCAGAGGTCTGACCAGGCATTCAAACCATGTTTACCTAATCACACACCCGACAGAGATGGTCAAACTAATGGATGCAAGATTCCTGATTCATTTGGGTAAGTAACATATGGTCCAGAAACTTGGGCTATTCAACTGACCGGACCAGGTTTACTGAGAATGTTCCAAGAACCAACCTTTATGCATCCATGCTGCACCACTTATCTAGTCCTAAAATGTGAACGAGTTGGACAATTCAGACAGAACAGGTTTACTGAGACGTTAATGGTAGTGACCCACAACAACTGGCAGATGACACAGTAAATTGCTTGAAATGAAATCATGTTTGACTTTTATGTAGGGAAAACATTTAATTTGGATTGGATTGGGTCCAATCCGGTCCATTTGCATTTCAATTGGACTGAACTGGATTCGGTTTGTATGGGGTTTGGACCGAAGTTGGTTCAATCCATTTGTAAATGGACTAATGTTGGACTGGACCGAATTAGACCAAATCCAGTCCAATTGACAGTCCTAGTTCCAGCTCAATCAGCCCTTTAGAGAAAAAAAAAAGTCAGAGAAAGTTATTAATGGTGTATACACCAATACTAAAAAAAAGTGAAGCCCACATTTCACCTAAACAAAACCAAACCGATCTAATGAAGATGTCATTATCATTATTAAGAGATCACATCTACGCCCCCACAAGGGGCCATCCCACAATGCCTCACAGTATATTTTCACTTTGCATTGGGAACATCTCCTGATAATATACCAGAATCGATCATCGGAAGATATTTTTAATACATGGCAGTAGACCTGTTCATGGGCCGGACCGGGCTTTCACTTGTCATTAAGGGAAATATGCTAGGCTTGAGCCTGAGCCCGGCCCGACCAACGGGCCTATAACTTGGGCCTGAGCTCGGCCCTGATAAAAAGCCCGATGTCCAACCTAATAAAAAAAAACAATTTTCACTATTTAAATTAGAATTAAAAATTTAGATAGTTTTTTTTTCCTATTTAAATGAACAATGGGCCTATAAGATGATTTTTCCCCTTTCTTTTATATTTTAAAACACAGTTATACATTCTTAAATAAAAAAATTTATTCAAATGGACATAATCACATTACTCACTTTAAGTCTAATATTAGGTCGGGCTGCGCTGTGCTATTTTGACAAAACCCAAGCCCGGCTCGAATTTATTGCGGACTAGATTTTTTGGCCCGAATTTAAGTCCACGGGCCTATAACCACGTTCAAGTCTGTCCAAGGGCCGAACCAGGCCGGGCCGGCCCGTCGGGCCACCCGGCCATGAACAGGTCTACACGGCAGGTATGTGCTGTGGGGCGGCCCTTGTGTGGCGGAGATGTAAACTCCATTATTAAAGCCGCCTTCGTTTTTGGGTAAATAAGGGCCATAAATTGATAAATGGGTTCGTTTCGCATTATTGCTGGGGCCCATGTGCGGCCGCAAAAGGTGTGGTTACATCATGGATAATAAGCAAATGCAAGGAATATACGCAGTTACCCGCGAAAATTTTACATGAAAAATACTTGTCCCAACTCCCAATAACTGTATTTACCCGATTAACTAAAAACCAAGATAGTTAAGTGTCCTCTTACCGGTCACTCCTTAGAATGTGAAAAGTCTCGCATATATATATATATATAAACACTTGCATGGAATAGCTCAGGTCGAAGGGGTGACTTAATTATATATATCTAGTTTCTGTTTGTTCTTTTATTTATTAAGTAAAAAAGAAAATAATCATTTTAGTAATAAAAATTTATTATTAAATAGAATATTTTTGTTCTATTTATATGTTGGAATCTTTCATTCAAGGTGAGAAAGTTATTTATTCAAGTAGAAGATGGGTATCAGGCCAGAAAAGTTATTTATTCACGTAATGATACTTGAAAAAATAAATTTTCCTTGATTTCCACAATAATCTAAAAAAAAGAATATGGTATTCTTGATACATGAGAATCAAAATTTCTTTAACCAACTTTTCTTCTGAAAATCCAAAAAAATAACTTCTGGTTGTCTTTTAAAAAATAAAAGGAAAAAATGAAGGAAAATTGATTGTATTTCTAGAAAGTACAGAAAAAAAAAGTCTCATCCGGATTACTTTCGTGGAAGCATCCCTTCCGGTGCGTGATTCCCTCCCTGCTGAATTGATTAAATGGAACGCAATTTAGCGTCATTTTTTGGGCCGGTGGAGGCTATCATGAGTCGTCACTGACCCCTACAGGTCGTTGTCTCCTATGATCATAGGAGAATTTGGTCTTCTGAGATTCGTTGGAGAATTGGGCGAACGGGTAGCTGAAGCCGAACTCCTCTCCTTATTGCAATGTGAAGCATGTGAAGCATGTACCTCATGAAGTGTGTGCACACACACACACACACACCCACCTGTAAAGAGTGGCTCATTGCATGCTCCATTACTGGACACATTTATATAGCAACAAATCAAGAAGCTCTAACAAGAAATGACCTAAAATATTTGTAAAGTTAACAAATGGCTAATCTTCTGTGCCACAACCACAAGGTCATGGCTTAAACTCCCCTTCCTTTAAAAAGAAATATTGTCATACATCTATATATAAAGCTGATTAGTTTTCTATTTTCATTTGACCAAATAATAAACCACCAAATCTTCTAAAGTGCTAACAAACTCTGGTTGATCTCATACAATTAAAAGAAATGCTTAGTTTAAGATGATATATGCATCTAGTCCAGGTACCAATCTAAGAACTTGATCTAACTTGGAGTTATAGTAACATGCTGGGTCCAGTATAAGGGGGTCACCATTCTTGTCAGAGCTGATAAAGGTCCCATGTACTTCACAAGTCTTTGTCCTGTTAAAAATCAAGAGAACAGGGATGAAAATAAATTATCTTCAACATGAATACAAGCCAAACCTAAACCTGTTTGGGTCTATATCTGCCCTAACTTCAAAGCCTATTATGTACAGAATTTATGTGATCCCGGACGAACATCCAATGAGCCCAGCCCCCAAGATATTCGGTTGGCACTTCAGGCTCATAATGAGACCAAGCCAAACCTAAACCTCATGATGAGTGGCAAGTTTGAGAATTGGACACAACTTAGTTTGGCTCAGATTGACTACAGCCAAACCTAAACCTGATGATGACTATGATGGTAACTGCACAAGATTGTTACTGGTGAAGTATGGAAAAGAAAAAGAGCCATCTGCAACACCAATCAGCTATAAATGTTCTGAAAGAAAAAGAACAAAATCTTGCTTGTATCCAAATTTTCCATTTAATTCCCATCATACAGCATCTGCAGAGCTTTGAAAACTAGATTGGTCTCTTTTTAATATAGTTTTTTATTAGCTTGATTTAATTATTTGGCTGATTAGCTGTAGCCATCATTGACTTGCCAAAGTATTTGTCTACCTATCATCAGTAGAATCCTAAATTCCAAACCACCTAACCCAACAATCAATGCCAACCCATATGCTAAATATCCAAAAAGAAAATATAGTTCTAAAAGAAAAAGAAGAAACTTATGAAAATAGACTCTATAAGAAAATTGCTCTAATACCCAAAAAAGGAATATAAAAAAAATTTATAAAGAACACTAAGCTAATAGTTGTATAAACAAACCCGTATGCTGTTTCTTTTCTATAAATTCTTTTAAATCCACATCTGAATGGTCCTCTTGGAGATATAGTTAGAACTTCCTCAAGGTACCAAAATTTTCTTGACATGCAAAGTTTAGCAAGTAGAGTTCAATTAACTATGATATTCAATCTCTTGGCCTGCATCCCTAATTGCACATAAGTCATGAACTTTTACTTCCACATTGATTTTTCACAATTGCCCAGTGCCTTGTTTGTGGGGGTGTGGAATTTCTTGCACTGTTTATGATACTTTGATCTGAAAAGCCAAATGGCATATCTTCAGCATTGAGAAAATTAACTATTGAGAAAATTAACTAAACAGTGGTAAAGTATATATATCAATACATGTATAAAAATTTGTAAGGTATGAATCATTTGAAAAAGTTTATGAATATCAAGTTGTGATTAGAATCATATTTGGATTATTGTGGCATGCCTTGGGTTTTCTCTCGAAATACATTTACTTATCCATTGTAGTGAGACCTTTGTGTTTTGCCTTCACTTGTATAATAATTAGTAAAGTGAGAGTCCAAACCTTTACAACAGATCAAACTGTCTTGTCATTCTTTGGAACATTGTACACAATGTTTCATGTTATGGCATGGCCTATATCCTATACATTGGCAGGATAATATATTTGGTTTATCATGGAAATTCTGAACTTGGACAAAACAGAAGTTTCTCTTTACCATATTAGATTAAATTCTGAGTTTTAGTCAGTAGTAAAGGTCCCTTTGACAGGTTAACCTAAAATTGTACAATATACATTGGTGCAGGACTGGGATAAGAGGGTTTTGCTTTGGTTTGATCCTGAAAATGAATTTGAATTCTGAGGTGATGATGCATTTGGCTTTGTACAGAAGCAGTTGTGTTTCTGAAAGTTAACCCTTGGCAGTGGTGGTTCTGACTATTGCTCTTGAAGAGCAAGGGACTGCAAATCTGAGGATGGTTATTTGATGGTCTGCAGTTTCCATTTCTAGAGTTGATATTTTTCTTCCTCATTCAATTCTCTGAGATATGTCAAGGCTTTGATATCACTTCAGCATTAAAAAGATGCCTATCATGCCCATTTGAATCCAACAGTCTAGAATATGATGCTCTTCTCTTGTTTCTGTAAACTCTACTCTTTGTTCCTTCCCCTTTTCGG